TCTGTTAAATCTTAAAAAAATATTTTATGAGTACCAATCAAATTTGTCATATTCTTGTATTTTCTATATTATTAAAATTATTTTGTTTTCTATACAATAACACTCATTTAAAAAAAAAAAATTAAGTGAGTTTGTGTATCTTTCGATCAAATTTTGCCATTGTTCATCTAAGTATTCATAATTAAATCCCTATTTAAGTGAATTTGTGTACTTTTGATCAAATTATTGTAATTACTTTTATTGGTACATTATTTGAGTTATTAATTTCTATTAAGTTCGTTATAATTTTATCTCATACTTCATATATTAATATTAATGACACTAACTTTTAAGGTTTATTTATTTTACTTAATTTCTTGTGTTTTATATTTTATAAATTGAGAGTTATGCATTAAACCTACAATTAATATGAATAAATATAAATTAAATGATTATTGGAAATAGCTTTTAATATAAAATTGTTTGTTTTGCTGATGTGGACACTCTAAGAGTAGAGAAAACTCCCTAATTATATAATATATAGATTCACAGAACTAATTAAGTTTGTGGATTGAACTCACAGCAAATTGCATTCGAAAAAGTAAATGATGCAGCAGCAGTTGCCAGCGCTGAAGCTGCAAAGATATATGGGTTGAACATAGTTGCTGAAGATATCCAGGTTTATAGTCTTGGAATTCCTTCTTCATTTTTCGTCCATACTTTTACCTTCTAGATGATTTGATGGTGAATTTCAATCGATTTAGGATGACTGTGATAATGTTACAAGGTTTCTAATGCTAGCAAGGGAACCCATTATTCCTGGAACAAACAAACTCTTTAAGGTGAGAAATTCTAATGTATCTTCCGAAATGTAGACGTTAGTCTGATATTTTGCAATGTATTCTTCTCTAATGGATTACTTACTTTGGTGATCTTGTAGACAAGTATAGTTTTCTCGTTAGAGGAAGGGCCTGGAGTACTTTTCAAAGCACTCGCCGTGTTTGCCCTTAGGCAAATCAATCTCACAAAAGTTAGTTAGTACAATCAAAATCTTCTTTTTAATTTGTGCAGCTTTTTTTTTTATATGCAATCTGGTTCTCATCCCTAACAATCAACTCCTTGTGGCGTCGAACAGATAGAGAGCCGCCCTTTACGGAAACACCCTCTTCGAGCATCTGGAGGGTTAAAGTAATTTCTCTCACAAACCACTTCTTGGATATGTTTTGTACCCACAGTTTCTGAACAATGATGAAAGATTCCGTCTCTCTTTTGTTTGACAGATACTTTGATTATCTTTTCTATGTGGACTTTGAAGCATCTATGGCTGATGAAGTTGCTCAGAACGCACTTAGGCATCTAGAGGTAGTGGATTTACTTTTTCGAGAACATGTAATCTGGATCCCCCGGTGAAGTGACTAAGGCTCTTACTTTTTGTTGCAGGAGTTTGCTACCTTTTTGCGGGTACTGGGAAGCTACCCAGTGGACACTACAATGCTCTAAACATTTTCAAAATGTTCTTGGTAAGTAGCCCGTTGGCTTGCATTGCGAAGTACAAAAAAGTTCACTTAATTCATTTGTAAAATGTTGTCCAAAACTATATCTAAGTGAGCAAAATTTCTCATTAGCAGTATAATCTATAAATCTTTGTGACGCAGATCCGCTTGATGTTTAGCATTATTCTGGTGTATGAGCCCTAGCCGCGAGGTGAGGTCCGAGTCTGTCACCCGTGAAACATCCTTCTTTTGTCTCCAATCATTCAAACTGTTTTATCTATTTTAGCAGGGGAAAGCTGGTTTAGTTTTATCTTGCTTAGCAAATAAGCTTTGTTTTAGCGCAAACAGTACTGTACAAGTAAAGATTAGTGAGATATCAAAAAAAAAAAAAGCAAGAACAAAGATACTAGTCAGTCATGTATGGAACTTTCTGCTTTCTGATGTTTCTTCCATAAACAGATACTTTATACATCTAATGATTTTTTTTTAATCAGTCATGTGTATGTTTGTATCCAAATTTTTTCAGATCTAATTGAAATATTTTAGAGTTGGAATACTTTTTTGGATTGGATCATAATCCTCGTGTGTGAAAATATTGTTACTAAAAAAACTTAATTATTATTCGGATCAGGTTTAATCGGTGATTTGAAAAGTTGAGGTTCTGATTTGAGAACATTATGAGAAAGAGGGACCTAACGACAAATAAAAGAAATGGGAGTCATTTAGATCTTTCTCGAAGATAATTGCTCCTCTTGAGCAATAAGCTGAAACGAGAAAACAAGCCTAAGTTCAGTGATCAAAGCTAAAGCAAACTCTCTCGACTCTTCGGCCATGAAAGTAGCGGAGAAGATTGTTTTGCTCTGGAATGATTCCGATGGATTTGCGGCAACCATTGTTGATGCTATAAACCCTAACCCTAGCTCTCCTCTTCGCAAACTGTAATTTGATTCTTCCTTTATCGATGTCGCACGGTTTTTTTTGTTTCTTTCTGTGTCTACGTTCTGCTTCCTAACAATGTATTTCTGGCAGAGAAGAACAGATCCAGCTTCCCTTGGATAAGTATGGCGTCGAAGATGTCGGAAACGGCGGGAGCGTCGTTCATTTCGTCGATGAAAATGGAGTTTATCAGGTTCTTCCTCCTTCCCTTTTTGGATGTTTCGTTCGTGTTTTTGGTTCTGGCAACTGTTCAATTCGGTAGAAATCAAGCGGGTATCAAATTTCAGAGTTGAATTGCTGTCTAGTTTCTTCTCTTCAACATTATCATAGGATGTGTAAGCTTTCAACTGAACCTGTTGTTTGTTATGAGAACTGAAATTTACTTAGTTAAGCTGAAGAATCATGATGCCCTAATGTGACATATCAGACAAGATAGTGATTGATCTGAGAACAGAAATTTCCTTAGTGCTACTGTTAGGCTGAAGAATTATGGTGCTCATTGTGTCATATTACCTGCAAAATGTGTTATTATGGTTGATACTTGGGGATGTTATTGTGTTTTGTGTTCAATTTCTCGCTTCACTAGTTGATGGCTTCTTCAATTGTATTACCCTTAAAGCATTATGAGACAGAAACTAAGTTTCTCTGCTTAAGTTGGAAGTTTAGAGGCTTTCTTTTCAGTCTTGATGTTGTTGTTGGCATGATAATGCCTTTTTTCAGTCAGTCTGCTGAAATCGAACCTAACTTATGATATGGGTGGGACTAGCTTCTAAGCTTGATCAGTTGTTTTGGCTTATCATTTGTTCATCAGTGTCATGTTTGTGTTGCAAGAGTTGATATCATGCTTTTCTCGATTCTTTTTTCCATGTTGAATGTCGCATTTATGATATGAATCATATGACAATAACATGGTTACATTGCTTAACTTTCTGATTATTTCTTCCATTTTTTAAGGTCTCGGTTTTTCTTGTTCGAAGCTATGAGCCTCCTGCACTAGTGTGTGCCATGAGTGAATTACTGGACCTAATTACAAGGGAAGCGTCAACTCTTCCCACGATTGTGGCTCCTTTTTTTGTGGCGGCATCTAAGCTTAAGTTCAATAACAGATCCCTTGAAGCAAGCAGCAGAAAAGCTAGTCTTCATTACGTTCAAGTTGGTCCAGAAACAGAAACCAGTAGGCTATTTGCTTCTCGCGTTGAGAAACCACCACCATTGACGCAGATCAATTATGAACCTTTGTCATGCTTGCTTCATCTAGCTCGTGTCAAACGCTTGCCTACCTCTGTTCTCATAGGACAAAGAGGTAGTAGCGTATCTAATAAAGCTCTAGAGGAAGAGCTTCAGGTAATTTTTCCATCAATTTTTGTCTTGGTTTCCTGCTCCTTTTGTTGGCTGGAGTTGCATTCACAGAAATCAAAATGTAAGAGAAGGTGCATTCCGACTGAATGACGAGTTTGCATTATTGGTCAACACAGGTGATCCATGAAACAGGGGAGCTTCTGGCGAGTTATGCCGGACTATCTTTCTCGAGAGACAGAATCAAGTGGAACATATCAAAGACATCGAAAGAAGAAGAAAGTACGTGGCGTGCTCTTTACGGTTAATCTTCTCAGGTCAGAGGTTTTTTCATGTCTCAACACTGTTACAGTTCTTTGCTTGGACCTGCACTTAAAGTTTTCCCCTGTTATAGCTCTTGTTAAGACTCTTATGCTCAGCTCCTGATAATTTTAGGAGAAACAAACAG